GATGACAAAATCGATTACTTTTCCCATAAACTGCTGGGGGAGGGGGGCAGCTATGACTGTTGGATCATCAGAAATATTGTGGATGACTTTTGACTGTTGAATAATCAACAGTATTATGAATGACTTTAATAATATGACGTCAATAGAATAGTTTCAGATATTATTTTTCTCTTCGATTTTACACAGCTAATTCAAAACTTTAAAATCCCAGTTATATACAACTGTTGTTAGCTCACAAGTTATCTATTTGTAAAGGAATTCTTGTTTTAAGTTTGGGCATGCGCGAGACTTGCGATTGGCTAACACGAGAACTTGCATTTCGTATGCTCCACCCTCTGGCTACTATTGACAGTTGTCGTCTGCTTCAAAAACATCAGGTCTGTTGCATCTCTTCTTCTTGGTCGTTCAAGCTAACACGATCCACTTGATGTATATTCGATATCTTTAGCTTAGTATTAGCTCAAGTCCCTGTCCGTACAGCACTATTAACCCTAACTCTGACCATAGCCCAGCCCCTAACTCTAATCCCACACATAAGACACGTTGTCCAGAGCTGTGGTTTGTCCCACCCATGAGACTAAACACAGTTCACAAAATGTGACCCTTGTAAACAACGGTTGTATCTTTACAATTTGTTTCTAATCTTAACATACATATTTAATATTAAGATATTCCGAACTAGCATCTGGTTTTTAAAATGTACACAGTGGACGTTAATTAATTCTAAATCATTATATATATATATATATATATATATATATATATATATATATATATATATATATATATATATATATATATATATATATATATATATATATATATATGGTTGTGTGGGTATGAGTGAGTGTGTATTGTTTTTCGAGGGGAGGGGGGTGACACCATTAGGTGCCGCACCTGGTGACAACACCCGACCCAGCGACGCAACTGGCACAACCACGATATGCAATGTCCCGTTCACCTATTAAAAATCTTTCTATAACAATCATATTATTTCATTATACCTTCCTTCCGCCAATGGAGGAAACATGATATCATGATAAACTAAAATGATAAACACTGTATGAGTAGTTATTAAGTTTTAAAACCATAACAGAGGCATAATTCAAAATATGCGGCTTTTGTCGGACGGTAGAGCTTACGACAGCGAGCCCAAAGTTTTGAGTTCGGATCCCTGTAGGACGTAGTTGCTTACCCAGCTCTGATGAGTACCTGATTCGTTTCAGGAGAACTTTGTAGCTGACCACAGTCCCCTGTATGTCGAGGTCACTAAAACAGGTTAACTCTACTTCATCAACCCCCCATGTGTCTTGGGCACGGATCGGGAAAAAAACGACAATGATGATGAATTCAAAATATTATGTTTCGCAGTGGATTGGAAAATACTGGCTTGTTTCTTCGCCTGTTTTATAAGACACAAAGTGTCATTTAGAAGAACGAAACAAACCTTGAAGAAATCATCGGAAGTGATGTCATAATAATCTTCTAGTCACGTGAACCTGAGTCATTTCCGGTCGCGTACGAGCTTTTGAATTTGTGTGTTCGTGTGTGTGTATGTGTGTGTGTGTGTTGGGTAGGGGTCGGGTGGCGGATTAATTATCGCAAGTAAAGCTAAGTGGTAAAGGTCATTCTCGTAGCTCAAGCCAGAATCTGATGCGGCGCTGTCAGATTTGAGAGTTAAGCCTGGGACTAACAAAGGAAGACTGACACAAGTCTGATTGCTCGACAGAAATATTTTTCATTTCGGTGAAGCTATGTCAACACAGGGGCGGTGTGGGTTAAGATGGTATATTGGTGTAGCTATTACCAACACAACGATACAAACGTTAGAAGTTATGTCGGTGAAGCTATACCAACACAGACAACTAGACCTAAGATGGTATATCAGTGTAGCTATATCAACACAGACAAGATGTACAATGGTATATTGGTGATGCTATACCAACACAGACAACTAGACCTAAGATGGTATATCAGTGTAGCTATATCAACACAGACAAGATGTACGATGGTATATTGGTGATGCTATACCAACACAGACAACTAGACCTAAGATGGTATATCAGTGTAGCTATATCAACACAGACAAGATGTACGATGGTATATTGGTGATGCTATACCAACACAGACAACTAGACCTAAGATGGTATATCAGTGTAGCTATATCAACACAGACAAGATGTACGATGGTATATTGGTGAAGCTATATCAACACAGACAAGATGTACGATGGTATATTGGTGAAGCTATATCAACACAGACAAGATGTACGATGGTATATTGGTGAAGCTATATCAACACAGACAAGATGTACGATGGTATATTGGTGAAGCTATATCAACACAGACAAGATGTACGATGGTATATTGGTGAAGCTATATCAACACAGACAAGATGTAAGATGGTATACTGGTGATGCTATACCAACACAGACAACTAGACCTAAGATGGTATATTGGTGATACTATATCAACACAGACAAGATGTAAGATGGTATACTGGTGATGCTATACCAACACAGACAACTAGACGTAAGATGGTATATCGGTGGAGCTATATCAACACAGACAACTAGACGTAAGTTGATATATCAGCACAAAGCTAACTACACTACAGTAAGATGTCAGGTATAACATACGAATGAATAGGAAAGCTCCACGAAAGGGGGGCATTTTGCAACAGAGGTCACCATCTACATCGCAGCGTAGCATAACTAATACATTTATTTGACACGTTGGACCTGAATGGACACAATGGATATGACTGGACACATTGCACTTGTCTGGACATGACTGGACATGACTGGACACTGTCGACATGACTGGACACTGTGGGCATGACTGGACACAGTGGACATGACTGGACACAGTGGACATGACTGGACACTGTGGACATGACTGGACACTGTGGGCATGACTGGACACAGTGGACATGACTGGACACAGTGGACATGACTGAACAGACTGGACATGACTGGACACCATGGACATGGCTGGACAAGGCTAGACATGACTGGACACTGTGGACATGACTGGACACACTGGACATGACTGGACACTGTGGACATGACTGGACACACTGGACATGACTGGACACTGTGGACATGACTGAACAGACTGGACATGACTGAACACTGTGGACATGACTGGACACTGTGGACATGACTGGACACAGTGGACATGAATGGACACTGTGGACTTGACTGGACACCATAGACATGGCTGGACAAGGCTAGACATGACTGGACACTGTGGACATGACTGGACATGACTGGACACTGTGGACATGACTGCATAAAGCTAGACATGACTGGACACAGTGGACATGACTGAACAGACTGGACATGACTGGACACTGTGGACATGACTGGACACAGTGGACATGACTGGACACAGTGGACATGACTGGACATAATGGACATGACTGGACGGACTGGACTTGACTGGACACAGTGGACATGACTGGACACAGCGGACATGACTGGACATAATGGACATGACTGGACGGACTGGACATGACTGGACACAGTGGACATGACTGGACACAGTGGACATGACTGGACATAATGGACATGACTGGACGGACTGGACATGACTGGACACAGTGGACATGACTGGACACAGTGGACATGACTGGACTTGACTGGACACAGTGGACATGACTGGACATAATGGACATGACTGGACACAGTGGACATGACTGGACACAGTGGATATGACTGGACGGACTGGACATGACTGGACACACTGTACATGACTTGACACAGTGGACATGACTGGACACAGTGGACATGACTGGACGGACTGGAAATGACTGGACACAGTGGACATGTCTTGACACAGTGGACATGACTGGACACAGTGGACATGACTGGACGGACTGGACATGACTGGACACAGTGGACATGACTGGACGGACTGGACATGACTGGACACAGTGGACATGACTGGACACAGTGGACATGACTGGACACAGTGGACATGACTGGACACAGTGGACATGACTGGACACAGTGGACATGACTGGACGGACTGGACATGACTGGACACAGTGGACATGACTGTACACAGTTGACATGACTGGACATGACTGGACACAATAAACATGACTGGACACAGTGGACATGACTGGACAGACTGGACATGACTGGACACGACTGGACATGACTGGACACAGTGGACATGACTGTACACAGTGGACATGACTGGACACAGTGGACATGACTGGACACAGTGGACATGACTGGACGGACTGGACATGACTGGACACAGTGGACATGACTGAACACAGTGAACATGACTGGACACAGTGGACATGACTGGACATGACTGGACACAGTGGACATGACTGGGCACAGTGGACATGACTGGACACTGTGACATGACTGGACATGACTGGACACTGTGGACATGACTGGACACAGTGGACATGACTGGACATGACTGGACACAGTGGACATGACTGGGCACAGTTGACATGACTGGACACTGTGACATGACTGAACACAGTGGACTTGACTGGACACAGTGGACATGACTGTACACACTGGACATGATTGGACATACTGGACATGACTGGGCACAGTGGACATGACTGGATACTGTGACATGACTGAACACAGTGGACATGACTGGACACAGTGGACATGACTGTACACAGTGTACATGACTGTACACAGTGTACATGACTGGACACAGTGGACATGACTGGACACAGTGGACATGACTGGACACTGTGGACATTACTTGACAAACATAACGTGCAGGACACACTGGACATGATTGGACATACTGGACATGACTGGACACTGTGGACATGACTGGACACAGTGGACATGACTGGACACAGTGGACATGACTGTACACAGTGGACATGAGTGTACACAGTGGACATGACTGGACTTGACTGGACACAGTGGACATGACTGGACACAGTGGACCTGACTGGATACAATGGACATGACTGGACACAGCGAACACACCTCTACATTGTGGACTCACCCAAAAATCAAGAGCACTTCTGGCTCCTCTAGCAAACAGCTGCTGTGGGAATTCCCCCATGTGGTGACCTTTAACATTCAAGGACGCTCTGTGGGAAGCGCCCTCTACAGCGATTCCCGCTAAGAGCGCAAGGAAACACAAAACTGTCGAGATGGTCATGACTTGATTCTGGTCCTTGCGGAGATAAAAAAAAATAATTTAATTAATAATGTAATTAAATTTTATTAATTAATTTATCAACGTGCAGTTTGACATTTAGCCTTCATCATTCAATGTTGAAGTTATTGACAAATTAATTGGGTCGGTGTATTTGAAGGTTATTACAAATTAGAAGAGAGTTGATTTCCCCAAAGCACTACAATTACGTAAAATTTATTATTTAATTTTTTTAAATAATATTTTTAAAAAATATTTTTATGAAATCATGAAGTTTGGAAAACTTAAATTAAAAATTAGAAACTTTTAATAATCGTAATCTAACGAATTAATCAAAACACATGTTTGACATGTCTGTGTAGCAACCAGAACCAGCAAATTCCGATTTCTTCTGAAGAGTTAAGGAATCTTTTTCGTTCATATTCTCTTAAACAAACAATTGCATTTTTAAGAGTTACCAGTGTTTCTTCCAGGCATCTATTTAAATAGAATTTATATAGAAAATATATACTTTTAACAATGTCCGACCCCACGGAAATTTTTGTCCGCCTCCCGAAAATTTCAAGTGCCCCGCCTCCACCCCCCCCCCCCCCTGTATAGAGATGACGTTTTGGCTCTTCATTCTGGACTTAATATTACCAAAGTTTATTTTACTAATTGGCGTCTGAATAGAGTATACAGAGAAATTGGGCTATAAAAATGGTGACTAAACCGTTTGTTTTTTTTTGTTGTTTTTTTTAAAGCATAGAAGCATAAGGTCTTGGAATTGGAATATATTATTTAAAATTACCACTTCCGTTTACCGGAAATCGCTCAAAATTAGACCGAAATCTGCGTGTAGATATAATATTTTTTAATGTAATTTAGTCCACCTAACTGACGGTACTCAAGTCATCGTGCTCACGCACACACAATGATACACACACACACACTCACACATGCAAGCAGACAAGAAAATGTTTTTCCGGTTCAGCATGGTGTAAAACGTCGAGATTTGTCAAAATATTTATTTAGATTGTTTTTCCACCATTACAATATTTCCCTTACAACACCTAGGAAAAAGTGGAGACAAACCCAAAGTGTGCAATATGGTATCTCTTATTAAAGCTATAATTAAAACGCCAGTGAATGGATGAAATCAAAGTTTGGACTGAGCTGCCCGTTGGCTAACTACTCAGAGCAGCAGAGAACCGAGACAGACGACAGAAAATTAGGGAAAAAAATAAACTGTGGTGTCCCAACGATCCTCTAGGTTAAGGGATGATTTATTGATTGATTGATTGATAAATAGCACAAGTACGGTGTCGATGTCAGCTAATCGCGCTCGTCTTCCGGTGATTACGTAGAACTCTATCCCCACAATTTAATTCCGCTGTTTAGGGTAAAAACTTACTCTTTACGTAGTATTTGACACTAGGTGTTTCAGTACGCTTAAAAGTAATTCTCTCTGTTGTGTTTGTTTAGATAATTGACGTTTATTTAGTTGATGGTGTTTGAATTAAGGAGGTTTAAGTGAACATACCGAAGCTAATTTAGTTGTGCTTTTTATGTACTCCATATAATAACACACCAATAATTATAATAGATTTTAAGCTATTGATATTCCGAATTTAGTTGTTTATTTAATTATCTTTTAGTTTTTTGTACTTCTTTGAGATTAGCATTTACACATGAATAGACCCATTAATTGACCTCTAATTACAGCAGAGCCACGTTTTGACCTCTATACAAATGACCCACTATTTGACCTCAATACAAATGACCCACTATTTGACCTCTATACAAATGACCCACAATTTGACCTCTATAAAAATGACCCACTATTTGACCTCTATACAAATGACCCACTATTTGACTTCTATACAAATGACCCACTATTTGACCTCTATACAAATGACCCACTATATGACCTCTCTACAAATGACCCACTATTTGACCTTTACACAAGACACCCTACAGGCCCCGTGAAACCTAAGCTGATTAACTATCAGCCATCGATTTGATCTGGGGCTCGACACGATCGTATAATTAAGCCCCAAATTAGTGCTGTGATTCAAGGGAACTTTTACTGCAAACAATAAGAGATATAATCACCTATTTATTGTTGAATATGAAAGGTCTTAAAGAATGATAAATGAATAATCTTTTAGGTTGGTTTAAGATTTACTCGAGGTTGAGAAATTATGGGATGATCAAAATACATTCAAAGATCTGGCATTTTGTGTGTCGGTATTCTTTTAGGCTGGATAGATTTCTTTGAGACAATCTCTGTCTATAACCTGTTATATTCAGGTTGATAGTAGAGTTTTAAGGACAGTGTCTGGCTGTTCGAGCCTAATACTGGAGTAATGTTTGGGACTTGATCCGTCAGTACAATCACACGAAATTCATTGTATCAAGCTCTTGGTTCCATTTTGTTTTATCCCAATACAAAATTATTAACTCTATTTCCAATATGCATTGATCTACACGATATACTTGTGTCGACTGTCTTTGTCAGTGTGGGCTCTATCCCAGGCTCAGAGGCGTAGCGACCCTTCCCGGCGCCCGGGGACAAACTTTTCGATTTGCACCACCCCCCCCCCCCCCCTCAAACTTTCGATTTGCACCCCTCCCCCCTCGAGATTTCGATTTGCACCCCCCCCCCTTCAAACTTTCGATTTGCACCCCCATCAACCTTTTCAATTTATTTTTCCAACCCATTTTGGCGCCCACTAAGGTCGGCGCCCGGGGACATATTTCCCCCCCCCCCCGCCCCCCCCCCCGTCGCTACGCTACTGCCCAGGCTCCATCTCAAACGTCATCTTTAGGACACACTTACTCCGGGATCTACATGGTATATGACTTCCGTTAAAACTATCATCGTCGCACTTTGTATCTTTAGTGAACAACTCTACGGCCACACAAATAACCCAACATAATCACCGACTGAGCTACTTATCTACTTAGCACAATCGACACGCATGCTGCTCAATGCTATTTGCGTTCGTTACCTTAAATAGATCGACAATCTGGGAGCGTAGTTTAAATGTTATTGCATGATACAGAGACACCCCTCGTCATAAATCATACACATTTCAAGTCAAATATCACCATTTCTTCCTTTCCCATTAGTGCCCTAAACACAGGCGTTAGATGAAGTAGTTAAACTGTTTCTTTATCCTCAGTATATAAAAGAACAGTTTGCTCCGTACGCTTACTCAGCCACTTAAGGTTTTTCCTGATGTTGGTCAGGTACCAATTTGAGCTGAGTGGACTCAGGGACGTCCTACGGACTTGAATATAGTAACCGAACTTAAAACTTGCAGGTTAGCAGCAGTGCACGTTACCAGCCTACCTAGTTGTCACTTAATGTTCACCATACTGCGCTAAATATAGCCTTTAATGTTAATGGGTGTAAGACTATCAAGGGGAGACGGCGTGACCTAGAGGTAGAGAGCTAGTCTCCTAACCAAAATGTATCGAGCTCGAAACGGATTCAAGTCGGTAAACCGTCCCTGAGATCACCCAGCTCTGAAGGGTACCTAAGTTAGGTAAAACAAAGCGGCTGGGGATAGTGCCGACCACATAATCCGAGGTTCCTGAAACAGATGAACTCTTCTTCATCTGCCCAGTGTGTCTTGGAAAAAGATGATGACGATGAAGAAGACTATTAGAGTTTTAGATTAACGATGGAAGAATCGAAGGAAGACTGTACATCCTTGCAACTCTTCACAAGCAATTGATCGAGCCAATTTGAAATTGTCACATTAAGACACACAACTTCTTATTCTCATTAACTTAATATATATATATATATATATATATATATATATATATATATATATATATATATATATATATATATATATATATATATATATCAACTTCCGCAGAACACCTCATATTATATTTTAAAACAAATCTAAAACTCCCCCCCCCCCCCCCACACACACACCTTGGCACAAGTTTGTTCTACAAAATGTCGGGAATTTGTGGTTTAAATTCGAACCAAGTAAAGTCCTATATCATTATAGAGAAAAAAAATTGTTACAGATTTATAATAAACAATGTGGAGCCATTATTTTTAGACAAAATAACGTGTGATCCATTATCACTAATTCGTTAATCAAATTATTATAGAATTTTTAGCGAAAATTAGAGTAGAACTTTAAAAAAAAGTATATAACATTACTTAACAACCTTCCACCACACGTTATCACTTTAACGGGAACAGGGCATTACCCCCCACCCCCGTCAATGATTCCACGGACATTTTCCCTCCGACTTTACCCCTTGGAGTAATTACAACCATGTCAACAACACCCCGCCCAGTAGGACATTACCCCCCCCCGACATGGTTAGAGTTAGAGTTAGGGATAGGTTTAGTGCTAGGGCTAGGGTTAGGGTTGTTGGGGCTAGGGTTAAGGTAAAGGTAAAGGTAAAGGTAAAGGTAAAGGTAAAGGTAAAGGTAAAGGTAAAGGTAAAGGTAAAGGTAAAGGTAAAGGTAAAGGTAAATGTAAAGGTAAAGGTAAAGGTAAAGGTTAAGGTTAAGGTTAAGGTTAAGGTTAAGGTTAAGGTTAAGGTTAAGGTAAAGGTAAAGGTTAAGGTTAAGGTTAAGGTTAAGGTTAAGGTTAAGGTTAAGGTTAAGGTTAAGGTTAAGGTTAAGGTTAAGGTTAAGGTTAAGGTTAAGGTTAAGGTTAAGGTTAAGGTTAAGGTTAAGGTTAAGGTTAAGGTTAAGGTAAGGTTAAGGTTAAGGTTAAGGTTAAGGTTAAGGTTAAGGTTAAGGTTAAGGTTAAGGTTAAGGTTAAGGTTAAGGTTAAGGTTAAGGTTAAGGTTAAGGTTAAGGTTAAGGTTAAGGTTAAGGTTAAGGTTAAGGTTGAGGTTGAGGTTGAGGTTGAGGTTGAGGTTGAGGTTGAGGTTGAGGTTGAGGTTGAGGTTGAGGTTGAGGTTGAGGTTGAGGTTGAGGTTGAGGTTGAGGTTGAGGTTGAGGTTGAGGTTGAGGTTGAGGTTGAGGTTGAGGTTGAGGTTGAGGT